AGGCTAGTCTCAAATTTCTGGGCTCATGTGATCCTCCTGCTGCAGCCTCCTAAAGTGCAGGGATTACAGGTGTGAGCCACTGCACCCGGCCACCTTTATGGATCCTAACCCGAACCTGAAACCCAGTGCAGCAGATCAGCCCTGCAAATAGTTCGTCAACTGGAGTTTGAATGCAATGGATTGCACTATGAAGGGCTTGGTGGGATCAGAGACTGGTGGTCTATGGGGTGGTCCCTCTGTTCCCAGAAGCATTACAGGGTGACTGCCACAGAGAGTCTTGGTCAGGCTGCAGGGAGAACAAGGCAAGGGGGCTCCTGGACCCACACCTGTCCAACCTCCCAGTTCCCAGTTGTGGACCTGAAAGTCCAGCCTTGCCAGTGATCCAAGGACTGCCCTGGGCCCCACCCAGAGGTCAGCAGGGGACCTCCCCACGACTCTAGGGCAGCCCCTTCCTCCTCCCCTCCCTGAAAGCCTCTGCCAGGTCTAGACCCATGTGCCCCATGCCTTTTTGCAGATTGCAGGTTGGTCCTTCCTGGCTCCAGAGATACCAGGCACTGCAAAGAGGGTCCGTTGAGCCCCCATTTACTAGGGTCTGGAGCAGCTTCTGGACTTGCCCCCACCCCTCCAAAGGCAGGGACAGCACTGGGCCGTAGGATGGAGCTGCAGCTTCTCACCCTGAACCTAAAACAAGCTACCCTACCTTACACCAGGCATCTGGCCGCCTCTCCTCAGTTCCAACCTGGGTTGGGCACGCCTGGCCCATCCAGGGTGCAGAGGGGACAACCCTGGCGCAGAGCAGCAGGCCAGGGAGGCAGCTGGGCTGCCAGTGCCCCTGATAAAAACCAGTGCAGGGCTCTTCCCCACACCAACCTCCACTGCTGAGGAGTCCCTCCTATCCTTCAAGGCTTCCCACAGTAGGTCAGGCCTCTGCCTCTGAGCCCGTCAACAGGCTAAGTCCTAAGAGGACATCAAAGGTCCTGTGGCTCCCAAAGATTAATAGCACCAGTATCTCCAAGGAGTCCTAGCAGAACGGGGCTCTGGGGATGTGACTACGTTTGTGAGTGTCGTTTGCAAACACCAAGTTCACCCACTTGCCCCTATAATTCAGTCATCTTAGAACTGTGAAACCATCACCCCAAAATGAAATCTCAAACCTATTTGTCCCCATTCCCAGCCTCAAACAATCTACTTTCTGTCTGACTTATATTTTCTGGATATTTCACAAAAATGGAATCACAAGGCACAGGCCTTTTGAGACAGGCTTCTTTCACTCAGCATTCTGTCCGGGTCCGCCCACATCACAGAACGTAAAAGAACTTCACTCCTAGCCGGGCACAGTGGTGTGTCCTGCAGTCTTGTCTACTGGGGAGGCTGAGGTGGGAGGATCACTTGAGGCCAGTTCAAGGCTGCGATGAGCAGTAACTGCATCTGCAAATAGTCGATGCACTCCAGCCAGGGCAATATAGCAAGACCCTATTAAAAATAACTTCATTCTGGCCCGGCGCGGTGGCTCAAACCTGTAATCCCAGCACTTTGGGAGACCAAGACGGGCGGATCACGAGGTCAGATCGAGACCATCCTGACTAACACGGTGAAACCCCGTCTCTAC